GTTTGGCATCCCTTCCTGAAAAGTGGGACTTTGTGACATTCCACGAGAGAATAAGGCGTTTTGAACGATCTTCAGTTGTTCTAACTTTAGGCTCCTTTGAAAAGTCGGGCAAGAACGATGCCTGATTCGGCCACATTGGACCTTGAGGCAAGCCGAAATCAGATTCGAGGCTAATCAAGCAACCACTCTTCTCGCTAACTCTCCTTTTCCCTAAACAATTTTTGAAATTATATATATATATTTTTTTTTAAATATTTTCATATTATATCGATATGTGATTTGGACAAAAGTTGCCTCTTCATTGTCCATTATAATTCACGAACTCGGCCAGTTAAGATATTTGCCTCTGTAGACCTTTTCAGACAACTTTTTGTTGCGTTGGTCTCTCTTCATATCGCCCGCATGAGGACTCGACTCGATAACACTGTTTGAGCCAACTTTTCCTGCGAAGCGAAGAGCCCACTTGTATACAATTTTAAAATATAATGAGTCAAGCATATTATCAAGTATTCCGTTGAAAATTCATGATGTTGTTTAAATGTTGGCAAATGGATTCACAATTAGACTTCACCATAAAATGAAAGAAGACTAGCCTCGAATTATGATCAGAGATTTGAGCAAAGAAGACCTCGCCGTATCATTCGTTGGTCTTGCTTTATTGCATACTGAGATTTTGCTTCTTCCATCAGCATACACATCTTCAGAGCCGGAAATAATGCTTTATACAACTTCCTCTTGGCACTAAATGAAGACGTCCTAGAGACGTCTTTCGTGGGTGGACAGACAAAAGCTAAGTAAGAAAAATTCATGATGATGTGACAGTTAATCAAGGGTCTCTGTACATGCCTTTACGGTCACTACAATCCTCGAGACGATTTTAATTCGGTCGCCACTTAAAACGCAATGAAAGGTAGCAAAATCTGAATTTGTCGAGAAGCTGCTTAATTTCCATATTTTTGTATATTTACTGTCAACGACTGGCCTAAAAATGCAAGCAAATGGACCTGGCAACCAGCACCGGAACGTACAGACTCCGAACTTGACCTTTTCCATCCAAGATTGAGTGGATTTACACTCGCCGTGCTTCTTCCTTTTCACGTAGTCATCCGTGAAGACCAACTTGCACTCACTCCTCCACGCGCGAGTGAGAGGCGAGCGACCATGCGAAAAACGACGAGTCTGTAAACACTCCACACAGAAAATGGGGTCTCTGCGAAAATCGTCAACCGAAATTGCCATTTTAAGTGAGTTAAGGCGGAATAAAAAGGAAATATCGCATAATATCGCGTGTCGTTTTGTCCTCATAATTTAATTTAAGCCAATATTCTTAAAGTGCAAGATGGGTTTGTCCCAGCGACCTGACATCGCCTTCATCTCTCCTCCGTGGCCGAAATGGCCATCGTGCAAATATGCAACCGAAAGACGTCCCCAAATCTGTACCACACGTTCACCAGACAGGCTCTTGACGAGGCGAGAAGTTGCCCACAATTGCGCTACTTTCTCGACCGGCAGCTGAGTTGAAAAGAGCACCAAAATGCAACAGATCCACGTTCACAAGACTCACCGATCTCATCGCCCTCGGACGACTGAAAACTGGTGCCCGTCACATTGGCCAACGTCCGACCGATCAGAAACTCCCATTCCGGCCGGACGCTCAAGGGGATCTCGATCGGATCCAGCCTCCGCAGAGCGACCAGACTCGTGTCGTCCAATAGGACTGCCTTTTCCTCCTCCTCGGCCTCTTTGGTCTCGTCTCCCAGCCCTACCGACCGGCCCGGTCCGGCTCCCATCTCCGAACCGGCCTCGGCGTAGTGATAGGCTGAGAACGGGAAGACGCCTGCCAACGACGATTCTGCTGATGTTGATGATGATGAAGATGAAGATGAGGAGGAGGAGGAGACCGACGAAGGTCCGAGGGCTGTACCGGCGGCGCTCCTCGGCGAGGCCTGTCTGGCGGGAAGAAGATGGGCCGCTTCGAGAGCCTCTCTGGCGTCGCGGAGGAGGTCGGAAGGGCCTACCGGAAGCAGACTGACCTGGTAGACAAGACTGCTGACCTCGGACGACAGGCCAGGATCGGAGCTGAGACGCGGGGGATCCCAGGTCAAATGGACGACGAGGTAGGCTGGCGGCAGATGGCCGGGAAACCCGACCGGCCGATGGCGTTGTGTGACGCTCTCAATTCGAAGATTCTGCG